TCAAAAATCCGCTATCACTGGCACCACTCAGCCTCTGGTTTTTCACTGACAAAGATAGTAGGCACAGCCAGGCCACCCAGGGCGTGGTTCTGAAGGAGTTAGCTCCGAAGGCCAGGGGTGAGATCTGCTATATGCATACCACCTCATCTCATTAACACCAGCACTGATGGTGGGAGTTGGGAGTGCTGCCCTGAGAAGGAAAGCAGCCTGTGAGCCTGGGGCAGGCAGAACTACTGGTCGGTAGGACACCAAAGGGAGATGGCTTTGTTTCCTGTAAACATGGACTACTCAGCACATCCTGCATGGCCACCACCAGGGCTTGCCTGGAATGTGTGATCACTGGCTGCCCTGCCTAGGCCCTTGGCTCCCTCCAGTTTGTCCACACATAAGTCAGGGTGAGCATTTGGAGGATAAGTCAGATTACGTCACTCCTCTGCTAAAACCCTAACCTCACCTGGCCCACCATGGGGACCCTTGCCCCATTCCTTCTCTCCCACCTGAGCTCATTTGCCTGGTGAGTTCAGGCCAACTCACTGTTCTTCACACACACCAGGGATGCTCTCACCTCAGCATTTTTTAACTTTCTGGGTTCTTTTTGTTTTTGGAGACAGTTTCACTCTGTTACCCTGGGTAGAGTGCCATGGAGTCACAGCTCATAGCAATCTCAAACTCTTGGGTTCAAGAGATGCTCTTGCCTCAGCCTCCCAAGTAGCTGGGACTACAGGCACCTGCAACCACAACCAGCTAATATTTCTATGTTTAGTAGAGACAGGGTCTTAGTCTTGCTCAGGCTGGTCTCCAACTCCTGAGCTCAAGCAATCCACCCACCTCGGCCTCCCAGAGTGCTGGGATTACAGTTGGAGCCACTGTGACTGGTCATCCCAAGAGGCTTTCTTTTTATCGAAATTGACAAGTTGACTCTAAAATCCATATGAAAATACAAAGGACCTACTACAATATTCAAAACAATTTGGAAAAGAAAAAAATCAAAGCACTTCTGATACCTGAGTTCAACACTTAAAAAACTGCAGTAATCAAGAGAGTGCCACACTGGGATAAAGACAGGCAATAGGCCAGGTGCAGTGGCTCATGCCTCTAATCTCAGCCACATTTGGGAGTTCAATTCCAGCGTGGACAACACAGCAAGGCCCTGTCTCTACAAAAAATACAAAAATTGGTTGGGTGTGGTAGTGCACACCTATAGTCCCAGCTTATTGGGAGGCCCAAGAGAAACGAACAGGGTGGTACCTGTGGCTCAGTGAGTAGGGCGCTGGCTCCATATACCAAGGGTGGTGGGTTGTAACCCTGCCCCTGTGATGGTTTATTCAGTGGGAAAGGATAGTCTTTCAACAAATGATATGAAAACCATATTAAAAAAAAAAAAGAAAACCAGATTCATTTTTTATCCATAATCATACAGATAAAAAAGAATCTTGATTCTTATCTTACATTGTACCAAAAAATGAACTCAAAATGAGTCACAGACTTTTTTTTTTTTTTTTTAGAGACAATATCTCATTTTATTGCCCTTGATAGAGTGCTGTGGAGCCACAGCTCACAGCAACTTCCAACCCTGGGCTTAGGCGATTCTCCTGCCTCAGCCTCCCAAGTTGCTGGGACTACAGGTGCCCTCCACAAAGCCTGGCTATTCTTTGTTGCAGTTTGGCCAGGGCGGGTTTGAACCCACCACCATTGTTATATGGGGCCAGCGCCGTACTCACTGAGCCACAGGCATTGCCTGGGGTCACAGACTTAAATGTAAGTACTAACATGATAAAAGTTCCAGAAAATAAAAACAGGAGAAAATCAAGTCCTTTGAATAAGCAATGCTTCTGGAGATTTTCAGCTAGAATAGAGAAAACTCTTACAAGTCAGTAATAACAAGGCAAACAATCAAACTTAAAAATGGGCAAAAGATGTGGACACACCACAAAATATGACACAGAAGGCAATAAACCTGTGAGATCATAAACGGTGAACACCAGCTCTTAGCAGGCAAGTACAAATGGAAATCCTAAGGAGACCAGGAGGGACTAAGCTTGAAAAGATTGACACCACCACGTGTTAGCAAAGATGAGGAGCGACTGGAATTCTCACTGGTAATAGTGACACAACCACTACAGAGCGGTGGGTGGCAGCTGCTTAGAAATGTAAACACATGCACTGCAATGGACTGAATGTTTATGTGTCCCCAATTCATATGTTAAAAGCCTAACCCCCAATGTGATGTGATGCTAGGAAGTGGCAATTATGCTCTCCAGCCCCCTTACTCATGAGGTTGCAGTGAGAAGACATCTAGACACTACATCTTTGGGAACCTTGACTTTGGACTTCCTAGACTCCAGAACCGTGAGGAATGCATTTGTTCATAGGTCACCCGGTTGATGGTAATTTGCTATAGCCTGGACTAAGACACTTACCTTATAACCCAGCAATTAAGTAGTAGGTTTTACCCAGGAGAAATAAAAACACATGTGCAAACACTTTTACATAAATGCTCATGGCAGTTTTATTCTTTTTTTTTTTTTTTTTGGCAGTTTTTGGCCAGGGCTGGGTTTGAATCCACCACCTCTGGCATATGG